TTGAAAAAGAAAAGCAAAGCTGGTGGCATCACAATTCCAGACTTCAGGCTCTATTACAAAGCTGTCATCATGAAGACAGTATGGCACTGGTACAAAAACAGACATAGATCAATGGAACAGAATAGAGAGCCCGGAAATGGACCCTCAACTCTATGGTCAACTAATCTTCGTCAAAGCAGGAAAGAATGTCCATTGGAAAAAAGACATTCTGTTCAACAAATGGTGTTGGCAAAATTGGACAGCCACATACATCATTAGTTTTTGATGTAGTGTTCCATGATTCATTGTTTGCATATAATACCCAGTGGTCCCTATCCTTGAAATTTTGAAGAAAACCATCCCTAAAACTATTTGGATCTGGCATAATGGTAGATCAGGGGTCAGGAATACATTTGGGCAGGTAGAGTAGGCTGTTTTTTCGTTATTCCTCTCTCCAAACCAAAGATATTTAAATAAGTACATCAGATGGGCTCTTAGATTCCTTATTTTCAGTGCTTTTGCTAACATTGTTAGACCCTCTAATTGTTTTTGGAAATATACAGAAAATGGCTAACATAGCAGGACTGAATTGCTATCTTTAGGAAGTCCTGCTTGCAGGGTTGGCCCTTATTTGGCATCTAGATGGAAACTTAGAGTTTAGAAGGATTCAAGTGGCTCACTTAAGCAGTTTGTGCAAATACTGTGGTTTATGTTGAACACTACTTTCCTCCTAGGAGTCTAGAATAGGGGCTACCTATTGTGACAGCATGCATTATAAATACTCAGGGCATTGAGTCTCCAACAAGCTTCCTGGTTGGCAACATGTGTTGTCACAACTTGTTGCTGGGGGAATTAAGCACATCCCATGTAGTTCCACTGCAAGAGGACCCTTGGCAGCTCATGTCTGATTCTCAGACTTTGCCCCGTACGCTTTTTCAAAACCTTTACTAATTTTGCTTTGTATTCTTTGACTGTAATAAATCACAGTCATGAGTACAATCATATGCTGAGTCAGGAGAGTTCATATGTCAGGCCAAAACAGTGATATTAAAAGTCAGTGGCAGAGTTACAAAACATAACTTTAAAAAAATCTATAACCATGTCATTACAGGTGTGGAAACAATCTCATGGAAGTTAGAAAATTTGTCAAGGATCACATATGTTGACAGTGATAGAATAAGTTTTAAAGCTTAAGAAACAAGTCAATAAACAGTTGTACTCCATGAACTTTAACATTTTTTCCAATTTTATTTATCAAATTAAAGTTGTAGGTTTAAAAAATTAACTTTATTGATGGGTGTTTCTAAAACGTGCTTTTTAAAATACAGGTGGGTGGACCCAACTATTACTTTGTAGTTAAGCTCTGGCATCTGGCAAAAGTATTTTCAAATATTTTCTTCTTATGAGCTGTGGCCTTGGTAATTTTGTTGGCACCATTTGCCTCTTTGCGATAAGATTCAAAATGGAATCAAATCCTCAATGTATTTTCTCAGTGGACATTTTGTTTGTGTATTTGTGCACCTGAATAAGGTATGTGACTACAACAACAGAGTCTAAGTCAGTGGCTCCTTTTCAGTGTGCTCGTTAGAATCACTTGGGAAGAGTGATTCCATATTCCAGGCCAACTAAGTCACAATTTCTGGTGTGGGGTGCAAGCGTCTTTTTCTGCCCCTTTTTTAAAGCTCCGCATGTGATTCCAGTGTGTGTAAGCTCATTGACAATCACTGGTCTAATTAAAATTATTTCTATATGCCAATAAAAATTGTATTTATCCCATAGTAATTGGCTGTTTTCTATACCTGGCAATATTCACTTTATATCTTCAATTGGAAAAACATGATTAAAATGTAAATTTAGCAAAATGAAGTTGTATGTATTAAGAAGTACAGATCTGGAGAACCTATTAAGGTAGATATATATATAATATTGATGTTTATTATGTATCAGTTGAAGAATTATAAATTTACCTTTGAGCTAGTTAACCAAAAATCAATCATTTCTCATCAAGAGTGATTTCATCTCACTTAAGACCTGGATGAAATTGTAAGCTTAGAATGTTATACCAGACAGTATATTCACTGGGTATATGCAATGCATTCCTTCAGGCAGGGAAAGAATCTGTTTTGTTTAGAGCCATGCACCATCACTGAAATATGGGATAGTGATGTGAGAGTTCATGTTGAAGAGGAATCAGGTTTGGAAGTCAGGCACCAGTAGATTTCAGGATTTTCATGGCTGACACAGGAAATGACCATGTTATTTTGAACATCAGTTGGGTAACCCAGCCGGAAACCAAAACAAAAACCAGAAAGAGTCTGATCCTTTGTCTAGAGTACAGCCAATCTTTGATCATATGTTAGAGCAGGGTTTGGCAAACCATAGTCCTGAGAGCTAAATCCATCCCTTTTTAGTAAATAGTTTTATTGGAGTATAGCCACGCTCATTGATTTACTTATTGTCTATGTCTGGTTTTGGCTCCAGTGGTCTATACTGAGACCATATAGCCTGCAAAGCCTAAAATATTTACTATCTGACCCTTTGCAGGAAGTTTGCCAACTCCTGTATTAGACTGTTATATCATGCATTAAACAATTGAATCATGCATTGTTTGCTGACATTCCTAAATAGATCCTCTTAAGCTGAGTTTGGTCTTTCTACACAGGTGACTGGAGATGATTCGGTTTTTAAGGCTTTCAAATGGGGATTGTAGTTGAAGAAGAGGGATTTGCCTTGGGGAGTATGCTGCTATCCCTTTGATGCTACTTCTGTAGGGGGCCAGGAGCTTGTCCACTTACCTGGGGTGGGTGTCTCCTTGCCTAACTCAGGCTCCATGTCCCTCTATGTCACAGTCCTTGCTGTTGCTCTCTCTGTTGGGGGTGGACATGGAGTAGCAAGTAACTAGGGATCCTGGACTGAAAGGATTTTTCACTGCAGATTCTGGGGATAAAGGGATAAAATTTTTCGTACACCTTGCTAATAATGGATCTAGATGTGGAAGTTTAAAGATTAAGAATGATTTAAGCTTTAATCGTGGTCCAAGTGGACAGTTCAAGAAGGTGTGGAGGTCTAGTGAAGAATGCACATCTGTCTCAGTTCCCCTGGTCTCTGGTGCAGTAGAGGCGTAGCAATGAAGGGGTAGCTGGTACACCTCTGAGCTGTCAGCCACGTCTTCACCTGGGGCACCTGAATGCCAGTAAAGGCTCCTACCCACTTGCTGGGTTACTTACCCTTGAAAAAACAGTACCTGCAAATACTGGAGACATTGAAGCATATGACCACTTTTAGCTTTCAAGGACATAACTCCCCTTTCTAACATATAAGGCTGTTAATCATGTTTCAATTAATGTTTCAATTTTTAGTTACATCTGTAGAAGAGCATTGCATACAAAAGCAGTGCCTGTAAATGAGTTGAAATGTAATGATGTTGTGGTAAGCACAGGCAACCTCATATCAGAGCTGCGAGTTTGAATTAGAAGTTACAGTCTTGGGGCATCTGGGTGGCTCAGTCGTTAAGCGTCTGCCTTCGGCTCGGATCGTGATCTCGGGGTCCTGGGATTGAGCCCTGCGTCGGGCTCCCTGCTCGGCGGGAAGCCTGCCTCTCCCTCTCCCTCTCCCACTCCCCCTGCTTGTGTTTCCTCTTCACTGTCTCTCTCTGTCAAATAAATAAAATCTTAAAAAAAAAAAGTTATAGTCTTAAGAAAAATATTGGGGTTATTTTTTTTTCAGGGGGTTAAGATTTCATTAATAAATGTCAGGCTATTTTTGTGACTCTAGAAGATTATAATTTTTTGGAAAGTATTTAAGATATTTTCAGACGAAATCCTCTGAAGATGTTTGGAATCTGATGATTTAGTTTATTCTGCTTATGATTTAGGTCTAGATCTATGCCCAGATGACTCTTCTGGGTATAGTTATACCCAACCTCATTAAATAGATCTGTGCCATAAGAGGAGTTCTGGTTGTTGATTTTCCTCTTCCTGAGGTACTGAGAAATAGGGACCTGTAACTGGGCACGATTTTCTAGAATATGATGGCTCCAAGTGCTGTTTGTGTTGGAAGACCTGGCATGTTTGTTTTCGTAGTGTGATAAGACACTGAAGGGCCTGGAGTTCATGGAGTCAGGCTGAATTACTTCCGAGAATAAATTGGTTGATAAAGATGCAAGTAATGATGCAGTCTCTCTCATGTGATTTGTTTTAAAGTAGTTTAAATTCTTACTTAGCTATGTTTATGGTATGTGATTTTCTAAGTGTACTTGCCTCCCCCCACTAATTCTTATCCCCTCTTTATGTCCTAGATCAACGACTATCACCTGTTCTACAAGATGAGTAACAGCCACCCTCTTCGCCCCTTTACTGCAGTGGGGGAAATTGATCATGTGCACATTTTGTCTGAACATATTGGTGCCTTGCTGATTGGGGAAGAATATGGCGACGTCACATTTGTTGTGGAAAAGAAACGTTTTCCTGCCCACAGGGTAATTTTAGCAGCGAGGTGCCAGTATTTTCGGTAAGTGTATATTACTTTTTGAAGATTCAAGTCACTTGTGGAAAACACTGGTATTTTTCTCCTCTGTGAAAAATATGTAACAAAGCATAACAATAAATTCTTGCAATCTCTGAATTCAACCTCTACAAGAATTCCATATTTGTAGACTTTTTGTTAGTTTTTTTTTTTTTTTTAATTTAAAATCACCTTTTCCTTCAGGAGCCATCTGAGAATTAGAGGGTGAGAAGGCTTCCCAAGCTCGACTGTCCCTCATCAACCATTTTTTTCAGGGTCTCAAGAATATTTTTCAGGGTGAGTCTTTTACGGCCCTCACCTGCTGCTCACAGCTGATGACTGATGGAACTTAATCTGATTTGCTGGCAGTAAGCCTTCTTGTTGTATAAGTGGACCAACCTCTGGACTTGATAGTGAACATGTCTACCTCTTGGTTTCAGACCACTGAGGCCCAGGACCTGTAGGTAACCCAACAGATCTATCTCTGAGATAGGCAGTTTGGCAACCCCAAATTAAAGGGAATTTAAGTATTTACTGAGATTTAGTTTTAGTTATATAAAACTAAAACTAAGCAGATATATAACTGAAACTAAGTGAAGTCTTTACGTACTAATGTAAAAATAAAAAAAAAAATCCTGCTTCTACGTAGCCATTGTCACTCAAACATTTAACTTCCAGGGTTATGAATGTTAAGCTAAGCTCTAATTACTCTACATTTTACCTAATATTTGTTAAAAGGGAATCATCACTGAATTATTGATTGAGTGCTAATTTATCTTTGATAAATCCATAGAGTCCATATGCATAAAATCATGGATTGTCCTGGGAAACTCATATCTAAAACCTGAAAGCCGGTGGCTTAGAGAAAATTTCACTTACCTTCTAGTGAAAACTAGTCTGATTTTTACAATCAGAATTAAGCGAGTCAACAAAACAATATCTGGAGTCACACACATTGTAGTGAGATGAGGCTTTCGGAAATATTTACTATTCAGCTAGAACTCTTTTAGTACATTTTAAACATTTTTATTTTTTTATTTTTTAAAGATTTTATTTATTTATTTGACAGAGAGAGAGATAGCGAGAGCAGGAACACAAGCAGGGGGAGTGGGAGAGGGAGAAGCAGGCTTCCCGCTGAGGAGCGAGCCCGATGTGGGGCTCGATCCCAGGAACCTGGGATCATGACCTGAGCCGAAGGCAGATGCTTAATGACTGAGCCACCCAGGTGCCCCCCTTTTAAACATTTTTAGAACATCTCATCTTGCACATATAAAATGCCACTGTAGATGAAGCCAGGAGCATCTTCTAAGAGTTCTCTCTGACCCTCTCCTACGCACCCTGCTAGTGGTCAGCTCCACCCAGGCAGCCTGCCTTGGTCTGGTCATTATTAGTTACCAGCCTCTCTCCTCCACACACTTTTCCTTTTGTGTTTCCCTTTTCTTACTTTTGGTCCACTCATTATTGTTAAAGCGTTTTAGAGACCATTCCTTATTAAGTCAGAACTCTTCAGCCTTATGTTTAATATTTGTTAATATTATATACCTTCCCTCTTTTCAAAAATAATTCGAGACAACTGTGTGTGGATATCTTTTAGATGATCAGTATAGTCTCAAAAGAAACTCACATGCTTTTAGAAATTTGAAGATCATATTGAGTGAATGGAACATACTTCCCTCACTTACTGAACTTGTTCTTGGTGTCTCTTTGTGGATATTGAACATTTATAATATATGATGGCTCACTAGGCTCAACTCAGAGTCATTGGTAATGCTATCTTAGATTCTCATTGCTGATACTGTTCATATGCAAAGGAAAGTTAGGAGAAGCCTCCCTAATTGTTGTCCTAGAGCCTATCAATTCCCAGATGAGGACAGACTAAGTGTACAGGAGGGAATTTTTCACAGGCTGGGGATTCATATTTAGTGTTCCAAGGGAGCCTCATCAAAACCACTTTTATAGCCTTGAGAATTTAGGTAAATACCATGGATCACACTGCAGTGGGAGTGAGCCTTGGCAAGATCTCCCTAGGAAAGTATTCTTTAATCCAGTAATTTTAAGGTTGTGGTGGGATGCTCTCTGGATTAATGAAAACCTTCAAGGGTGTTTTTAGGCACAGTATAACCCAGTGAAGAAATATACTCAGAGTATTTGTGAATCTTTGCCTGGATGGTTTCAACTATTTCCTGGAGGCCATCAGGAATGCCAAGGCCTGGAGGAAGGTAGGAAGAATTCCAGCAGATATGGAGGGAACCATTGAAATGCTATTCCTACTCTTAGAATCTTAGGAGCAGGGGGAGTCTCTTTTTGCCCCCTTATTCTCTTATTTTCACTTTTACACATTTTTTTTTAAAAGATTTTATTTATTTATTTGACAGAGAGAGAGACAGCGAGAGAGGGAACACAAGCAGGGGGGGTGGGAGAAGGAGAAGCAGGCTTCCTGCCGAGCAGGGAGCCCGACGCGGGGCTCGATCCCAGGACCCTGGGACCATGACCTGAGCTGAAGGCAGACGCTTAACGACTGAGCCACCCAGGCGCCCCACTTTTACACATTTTCTTTCTCACTTTTACTCTTCTTTTTCTGTACTCCTCCCTTGTCCTCCTTTCTTTCCTGATGGATTGGAGGTTTAATTGGTTCATATTATTCTTCCTGCAGTAATAGAGGTAGAAATTCAAATTCATTACCTGACCAGATTGTATGGTTTTCATTTTTTAGATGAGCAGATAAGCAATAATAGGATTTTTTTTAATCTGAAAAATACTGAAAAGACAGGAAAAAAGTCAAATCATCCATAGTCCATCCCATCCCCAAATTTTATTTTTAATTTATAAAGTAACAAATGGAAGTCCTTCCCTCCCAGCCATCTAATCCCACTCCCCAGAGACAACCTCTGTTAACAGTATAAAATGAATTTCCCCTGATTTTTCTCAATATAAATAGATACTTCTCTATATACCTATGTGCATACACACATATGGTGCAACAAATCCCGTGCAACACATCTGGGTCTGCAACGTGACTTACATACTATATCCTGGATATTTTTCCAAGACTGTATACATTGATCTCTGTAATAGCTGTACAGAAGTATATATCCGTTTTTAAATTTTAAAATTATGTTTCTGTTGATGGACGTTTAAGATTTTTTTCAGTGTTTCCATTTTTTTTTTTTTTTTTAAAGACTTTATTTCTCAGAGAGAGAAAGGAAGCACAAGCAGGGGGGGTGGCAGAGGGAGAAGCGGACTCCCCGCTGAGCAGGGAGCCCGATGCGGGACTCGATCCCAGGACTCCGGGATCATGACCTGAGCCGAAGGCAGACGCTTAACCGACTGAGCTACCCAGGCGCCCTCCGTTGTTTCACTATGTATTCTTATATGTGTATCTTTACTTTGCTGTATTATTTCTCTAGAATTGAGTCCTAACAGTGAGATTACTGAGTTGAAGGGTATGCCCATTTTAGATTTGAATAGAAATTACTTACATTACTTTCCCCATAGGGGTGCCTATTTATGGGCTCAAAGCGGTGCATGAGGGAACCTCTTATTCCATTGCCTTTGTAGTACTGAATAGTTAACAGGATTTTTAATTTCTGCCAGTCTGAGACGGGAGAATGGCACCTGTTTGGGTATAATTGTTTTTATCTGATTATATCTTTTCCTACAAAGTTTTACTTTTTAAACCGCCTTATTAACCTTTAATATGTTTATATGGGTTTCACTGTTCCTTTCAAAAGAGCACTTTCATCTTTCTACTTAATGAATGTTTATTACATATTTGAGCTCTCAGGATATTTCATTAGTCCAGTTGTTTATAGAATTAATCCAAAATAGTTTATAAATTATTTTTCTTTCTTTAGAGAACTATTTAAAATGATTACTATGCATTTCTTCACCTGAATCTTTGTGTCATTAAACAAATTTATGTTTGCAAGATGCTGATAAGCATGATTTCATAATATTGTAGCAACTCTTATTTGAGGTTTTCCTCATGCATTTCTTCTCTGACGTGCAGAGCATTACTGTATGGTGGGATGCGAGAATCTCAGCCCGAAGCAGAAATCCCTCTCCAAGACACCACTGCAGAAGCATTCACGATGCTGCTTAAATACATCTACACTGGGCGGGCAACACTGACAGATGAGAAGGAGGAGGTGTTGCTGGACTTTTTGAGCCTGGCTCATAAATACGGATTTCCAGAGCTGGAGGATTCTACCTCTGAGTATCTCTGCACCATACTTAACATTCAGAATGTCTGCATGACTTTTGATGTTGCCAGCCTCTACTCGCTTCCCAAGTTAACTTGCATGTGCTGCATGTTTATGGACAGAAATGCTCAGGAGGTGCTCTCCAGTGAAGGCTTCCTCTCCCTCTCTAAGGTGTGTCGACGTCTGCAAGTACTTTACAGGCATGTGGCGCGTTACTTAGATCCATGCAGTAGGAAGAGAGCCATAGACTAAGAATAAAAAAATAAAAACCATCGGTCTGGAAGAGGTCGTCTGTCTAGCCACCCACCTCCGGCTACTGAGGCTCTATAGGTCATATAAAAGAGAGACAAATGGCTTTTGTTTTCTTTTTTAAGATTCTATGCAGGGTGGTGTTTTCCAAGTGATGCCTGTCAAGTTCCTTTGTGGTGTTATGTACTATTTTTTGGTTTTGTATCTCTCCAACAGAGAGGTGCAACTAATAACTCCTTATTGTGAGAGGGAAAATTCATAAAGGAGATCTGAGGTGTCATTGGATGTTTTAAGTCACTGCTTTTTTTTTTTGCTGCCTCAAAAAAATAGACCATTATTTTGCCCAATTCTTTCTCTGAACCCTGGTCTCTCCTTTCCCTCTTCATGTTCTTCCGAGGACCTGAATATTTCAAATGAGAAGACTTATTTGAAAAGCTACATATTTTGGCCTGAGTGTAAACTATGATTCTTACTATCCTACTTAATTTTTTGGAGGCAAGGTCTTTGAGGGTTGCCCCAGTGTTGCTGGAGGTCAGTCTGGAATCTGAGAACCAGAAATATGGGAGTGCAATAATATCGTGGAACAAAAGATTTCGAATTTTAAATGCCAGATGTATCTTACTGACTTATAAATGTAAGCTCTCCTGGAGAGCCTGAATGGAATGACAGCTCCTCGTATTGCCATTTTTCTTCTTGTTTTATTAAAGACTAGACATTTGATGTAGTGGTACTAGATGCCCATGGCTATTCACGGAGCCGTGATGGGCAAGAGAGTACATGGCACAAAGATTAAAGAAAGAAGACGGTCGAAGAGAGTTGTTGAGATATAAGTCATCCTCACAGTTCTGTGAGGTTTTGCTGATTGATCATGCACATGGCTGAGCTCTGTAATGACTAGAATTTTTTTTTTTATCCTTTTCAGACAGCACTTTTAAACATCGTATTAAGAGATTCATTTGCAGCCCCAGAGAAAGATATTTTCCTAGCTTTGTTAAGTTGGTGTAAGCACAATTCAAAGGAGAATCATGCTGAAATCATGCAGGCTGTGCGTTTGCCTCTGATGAGCCTCACTGAACTTCTGAACGTTGTGAGGCCTTCAGGACTGTTGTCTCCCGATGCCATTCTGGATGCTATTAAAGTTCGATCAGAGAGCCGGGATATGGACCTCAATTACAGAGGCATGCTCAGTGAGTACCTGTTTATCCTCATCTCATGAAGATGTTTTCTCCCTCGTCTGACAGTCTCAGCTACAAAATGAGCTACAAAACTCTAGTTGTAGGTGTATGTGGTATGTGTGGGTCTAAGAACATATAGTTCTGCTTCCTTTATTCTCCTCTTGATTCCCGCAGAGATTGTTGAGCCTTTGTAGACTCCCAAATAGATATTTCTTGCCATTCCTGGACAGATTTCTTCAGCTGTTCCCTAGCAAATCAGAAATAGACACTTCCTGAAAAGCTTCTTCTCATGCTAAGACCTTCTCTATCAAATCAGCACTGAGTATGTGCTATGTACTTATTATTATTTTAGGTACTGTGAGCATGGAGATTCTAAATAATAGTAATAGCTAACACTTGTGTTACATTTCCAACACTTATGTGATCTTATTAATAAAAATAATAGCAATTATGAAGTGCTTATAAAGTGCTTTTATGTATCAATAACAGTTCTACATGATCATTTAATTCTTAGAACAGCCTTTTGAAGTTGGTACCATTATTATCTCCATTTTACAAATGAGGAAACTGAAGCACAGAGAGGTTAAGTGACTTGCCTGGCATCACACAGAAAGATGTGGAGAGGAGAGGCAGACCTGTGTAGGTCAGCTGTGTAATGAACCACTAAATTATGATGGGCAAATGCAAAATATAGTCTCCACCTTTGATCCTTTTAATATCCTTGCAGAAACAAGACATATACTCCCATGAAAAGTTAAGTACAACCATGTCAAAGGTTGGCACATGCTGTGAACTTCAGAAGAGATATGGCTTAGAAGGATTGAGGGAGATTTCATGGAGATTATGAAGCCTGAGGTGAATTCTGACCTTGGATATTAGTGGCATCAGGTGGAGTGTGTTCCGAGGGGAGGACCGGTTACATTTGACAGACAAGGTAGAGCATTTGAAGGATCAGGAACAGAAGAGGTAGACTAGAGCAGAAGGCTAGCATTCATAAACAGCGACATCTATAAAGGTTAGTTCAGGCAAGATTGTGGAAGTCTTTCAAACTAGCTTGGGATTTTGCTTATGCACAATGAGAAGCTAATTTTCGAGAGGGAGAGATGTATGACTATGATGATGGTTTTGAAAGTTTGATCCATGGTGCTGTACTTGATGATCTAGAATAGGGAAAACCAGTTCAGGGAGACCAGCGAGGAGGGTATTGACCTGCATGGGGTTGATACAACCGTAAACTAGAGTGGCAGTAGGGAAAAGGGAAAGTATGTATGTATAAAGGAGATATTATTCTAAAAAATAGATCTTGGTGGTTTAAGGGATTTAAATTTGAGGATTAAGTTTAGGAGGAAGTTACCTTATTTTATCAAATCTAAGAAACCAGAAGTTCTGAGGTGCCACTGTTTTATGTACCACTAAGAAAGGAAACAGTATTGCCAGTTAAACCCTGACACACCATCATGCCTATATCCCAATTTCAGAAATGTTAAAATTTGAAAAAACATGTGTCTTAGTGTTAATGAAATTTAGTAGTTCTCTGAAGATGCTGAGCTTGATTTTAGACTTACTGAGTTTGAGGGTTTCTGGAACATCTAAGTACCAAGTTCTGTCCCATGTTAGTCATTTCCCTGAGTGATCTTTTCCTTGACCGTGTTCAGACATTCTCTTGAATACTGATTGGTCTTAAATAGGTGTCCTTAGTCTGGACTTCTCTCGTGACTCATCAGATTTCATAGAAGAAAAAGTATTGGTTTTGGAGCCAGACAAGTTTGACTTCAAATCCTGAATGAGTCACTTATTAATTGTATGACCTGGTATTAAGTTACATAGGAATTTTACAGTTAGTCCTACATTTCCTATTGTTTCCATATTGTTATGAGAATTAGTTGAAATAATGTGTGCAAATAATGTCTGTGAACTCAATCTAGGAAACCGTTGTTATATTATCATTATTTGTGTTCTTCCTCATCTCTCTATGTCTGTGTAGGAATTATCACATTGATCACATTGTTTTAAACATTTTTGTTAACTTGTCTTTGGTCTGAAGGCAGAGATGATCTTTGTAAGGTCTGTTGATCTTTGTATCCTCAACATTTAAGATGCTGTATAGATGCTGTGAATGAATGCACAGAGAAATGTCTGATAGCAGTGGAAGCATGTTATTGGTGTTTAGAAAGCAGTCAGAGCTGGTGAAGAAAGAGTTGAGACCTGGGGTAGAGTGTAGAGAAGGAAGTAAAAGTCTGAGACTTGGAGAAGACCAGTAGCCAGGGGGCTGAAGGTAGAGAAAGAAGAATTAGAGGTAGGGAGAAAACGGGGTAGGGTTATAGAAGCCAACAGAGGAGAGAACTTTTATTTGGAGAGGGTGGTCGCTGGTATCTAGTGATGCTGGGAAATCAGAAGAATGAGAATTGAGAGAAAACTTGAGGATATAAATTGTGGTCGGTTGGTGAGTAGTCTGGGCAGAAGCTTGGCTAAATGGGGAATTAGGCATGGGTTTGAAAAGATAGTAAATATAATATGTTGACCATCCAGTGTGTGAATTGGAGTGAAAGGCAGTAGAGAAATAGTATGGCAGCTAGACGGAACAGCTCGAGAGAGATCTGGGAGGAGATTGGAGGTGCTAGAGAGTGGTCCTAGGAGAGGGTCAGCCTTAGATAGAGGGTGGGAGGATGGAAGGGGGAGAGGTAACAAGATGAGTAACGTAATTTTAGAATTTCTAAGTCCTCATTGTTGGATCTGCTCATATAAGTTTATTTTTCTCCCTTCTTGCCCTAGCTCTGATTTGAGGTGTTGATAGGGCCCTATAACTGGATTCGTTATAGAGATAGGCTTGGGACATTTTTGCAGGAGTGAGGACTTGCTTTGGACACTTCATGTAGTTAGTGGTAGCTTAGAATTGACCAGCTAGCTGGTCACTGGAGGTGTCACACCTGGGTTATAATAAAGCCATGAGATTACCATGAAAGGGAGTAATCAAACAGCTGAGCACACTCAGTTCTGGGTTGATAGATTTACTGTAATTATTACTCATAAATGTTAAATTATTCATTTTGGGATAATTCAGTGGGATCTCGAGGAAGAGACTATACAGATGTCTGGGAATCTTTTATCTAACTTCTAACCTTGAGAAATGATGAAATAGCAGGCTGGTTTTCTGACTTTTTAACTATATGGATAGCAAAATCCATAATATCAATACTAAGGATGCTTAGCACTTCCCTATCAGCTCCGAAAATGATAGGTTAGTTATTCTCTAAGTAAATGTTATCCAAACATACCATTATTTTCTTTTATCACATTTCTTCACTGTTAGGAAAACATGGTCTAAAATTTCAGACGTCTTCCTGGATTCTTCTGGAAAGATAGTTACACTTATTTTGAAACTGTTGACCAAATTTGTTTGTTTGTTTCTTTGTTCTCCCCTGGGTATAGCTTGTGTGTCTTTGGGACTTTTCATGAACTATGGAGAGGTTCTATTCTGGATTAGGGGCAACACAGATACTTTTTCTTTGAGTTTATTAATATTGGTTACTGGAAGGTTCAACTCTTAGAGCTGCATATCCTGAGGATTTTACCAAATTATAATAATTTTTTTCCTCCTTTAAAAAAACAAAAGAGGATCCAAAGGATGGTTTAACTTACCAGTGATGGTTAGTCTTTCTGGGAAGGTGGTTTTGACCAGTTTTGTACATACACCTGGGGAAAGGAATTAATTTTTAATGAAATTATTTTTTTCCTTAGAGTATTTGAACAACTTGCACTCAGACCGTTGCTTTAATGCTTAGTTTTATCTTAACTATGAAGGTATTTCTGCCTTGAAAGTTAGTTTTTCTTCTGTTCAGGCTGAGTTATACTTTGTTTTGTGTCTCTCAGATTTTAGACTTTGGGAAAGAGGACAATATTGTTTCTTCATGTTTATAGCAGGGAGCATATCACAGCTTCCATTCTAAAGATTCTTTTGTTTTTAAGATTTTATTTATTTATTTGGAAGAGAGACAGAGAGTATGAGCAGGGGGAGGGGCAGAGGGAGAGAGTGAGTCTCAAGCAGACTCCCCGCTGAGGGCAAAGCCTGACGCGGGGCTTGATCTCACGACCTGAGCCAAAAAACCAAGAGTCAGCCGCTCAACCAACTGAGCCACCCAGGTGCCCCTGGAACTTTAATATTTTTAAAACTCTTTGACATATATGTTCTTTATCTTCCCAACTATAGTTGATAGTATCTTCGTCGGTAAACTAGGGGGTTCACAAAGAATCCCTCCTGAATCCTCATCTGTGGAGGCATTTTATGTCTGATACGCACTTGTCTGTATGAGATGATGAGCTGCTGGAGGGCTGAGTCCAACACCGTCCGGCACACAGAAGGAAGCTTAGGAACTGTTTTTTCTTTAAATACATAGGATGAAGGTCCCATTCAGCTCTTAGAAGTTTTCATTCTGTGATCTTTATAAGTAACTTGCCTAAAGTAACAGTGAAATCGATGCCTGAGCCAGAACCAAAGTGCTGATCTGATTCACACAGCCAGCGTTCTCCTATAGAGTCTCCTGCCTGGGTTATTTCCTGTTGCTGTTTTGTTTGGTGTGTTTGAGCACCAGTACTGTCAAATGTGGAAAGGAGGCCTGTGGAGAGTGGAGATAATGGGGAGAGTTAGGGAAGACACGAGTTGTCAAGAAAGCCCTTTGTCATGCCACGTTTGCTGGAACGGGGAAGCCACACATCTTTCAGGGAAGTCAGGTTGGGGAGTACAAGGTGATTTGGGGTGCAGAATTAGGTAAAGAGATTGTGGTGGGCAGAGAATCAAGTGTGGCTCCAAATGACCCGTCAGGAGTGAACAACTATCTCAGCCTAGATGTAGTAGAAAGTTCAACAAAGGATGGTTAAGAACATAATGCAATTAAAGAAAAACACAAGATAATTAGCCGAGCACTGCTCAGATTTTGGCACTGTGTCGCTGGCGGCAGGTCCTACTCCATTTCTCCTCAGCTTTCCTTTCGAATAATTGGCTTGTTTCTGCCTAGCTGTGGAACTTCAATGCTTAATTTTTTTTCGTGTTTGTAAAATGCATCCAAAATTACAAATGTAAAGAAAAGTATTGTTACCTGCTATGTTGTTTAATCCCTAACACCCTATATTTTTTTGAGAGCTCTTTTCTCTACTGATAGATATAGGCAGTAAGAATATGGTTTGAGTTGTTTTATAATGACTTGAATTTTCTCATGATCACTTTTTTTTCTTAAATTCTTCTTAAATTTAACTTAGGTTTTGCACGTGCACACGCACACACACAAATACTTGGAGTTGTATTTTTATCCCATGAGATACTCAGATTATAGTCACCATGAGAGAATTTCCACTTGTGTAAATGTTTCCCATTTTAAGGTAAAAGCTACTTTCAAGGAATCTGTATCAAGAATAGTTAGAAAAGTTCTCAAGCACTCTTGAAATAAACTTCAAAAGAAGACTTTAGACTTGTGGTAGCAATTTCATTTCCATTTTAGACTTTTAGTTACAGTCACTTGAAATCCTGGTGCCTGTGTGTTACTCCAAGCTTGATAAATTTTAGAGATGAAGAAGCTTATGTTTAGAGAAAGTCAAAGGGTAGCAGCACTTTCTAAATCTGAAAGCTTGAGTTACCCCCTTTTCAGGGTGGTCTTGACTAGTGGTGTGAGAACTAGTGGAGATGGTACCAGTGGTCAGCAGCAACAGACTTCAGACCCCCACATTTTACACCTAGCAATAAGGGAACAGAGATCTCTGTTTACCAAGGGTTGCACGTTACTGACACTGAAAAGTATCAATTGGAAATTTTTTTTGCTTGCCTTATGAAGTGCTTCATCTCTAGATTGGAGACATCAGGAGGGCAGGGCCCATCTGTGTCTCACTCTCTGAGGTATTCCCATGGTACCTGGTGCAGACTGATTGCTCCACGTTTTTTTGACTGCATGCTTTATACTTACAGGATACCGTAGCATATATTATTTGTAGTATGATCTTTACAGTAACACAGTGGGTGGGTTGGACGCAGCATTATTTGTAGATGAGAAAACAGATTCAGATTCAGAGACTGAGAGGCCTCAGTCAGGGGCAGTGGGTGGTAGAGCCTGAGTCTCAGACATAGGTATTCTCACTTTAAATACAACTTTGTTTGTTTGATTTTAAACTTATCAGACTCTATTTTTTCCCTCTTAGTCTCAGGCGACCTTACAAGGAAGGGATTAGAGAGGGGGTAAAATACGGTCTTCCCGTCAGAAACCCTTATGACGGAGGTGGCAGGCAGGGCTCCTGGAGGCAGACTGCTAGGTTCTAATCACAGCTGTGTTACTGGCTGGCTGTGTGACCTCAGGCACCAAAGTTCATCCAGCCCTTCTCTGCCCCTACTTCCCCATCTGTGAAATGGACATGTAATAGTATTTCACTCAAAGGGTTATTTTGAGGAGTGAATCAAAGGAATTAATAAGGTTTGTTAAATGAGAAATAAATATGAAGAAAAGGTATGATTACCATGAACTAATAGAACTCAGGAAGTTATAAACCTGTATCACTTAAGCACAACAGAGGTTGAACATGACTAGATTTCATTTTGCTTTTTTTTCTGAATTGCCTTACCCTTTTGCAAGTTAAATAGACCCGCCCCAGCCCCCATTTGTCAGCTGCATTTATTATCATCTTCTGGAGTCATTCCCTTTACCTGGCTTCGTTCAAAAAATATTTTTAATTATTTTTTTTTCTTTTTTGAGAGAGCATGTGCAAGCAGGGGGGTAGGGAGGGGCAGAGGTAGAGGGGGAGAGAGAATCCTAAGCAGGCTCCATGCCCAGCGAGGAGCCTGACATGGGGCTCAATCTCATGACCCTGAGATCATGACCTGAGCCAAAATCAAGAGTCAGACACTTAACCAACTGAGCCACTCAGGCTCCCGTAAAAAAAATTTTTAAAAACCTACATTTTTGAAGAAATATGTAGTGATGAATTACTTACCCCCTTTCCCTAAGAGCCTAATTACAGCTCACACTTTCCCCTATTTAAATCACATAGACAAGATGTGTATGTACTGTGAGAATTCAGCATTTATTTATAGTCTGTAAACTTGCTTAGTTCTCTTATTATTGTGTGTTTTTTAGTATATGTTTTATAATAATTCTGATAATTTTTTTTAGAGCTTACTATGTGCTTTGCAAACATCATCTCATTTAATCCTTCCAACAAGAAAAACACCCATGTCTAGGTATTGCCCTCTTGGAGAGACTGAAGTTCAGAGAAGATGACTTCCCCAAAGTGATTCGCCTGGTTAGAGGTGTAGCCACTATTTGAACTCTGACTCTGAAGCTCAAGCTCTTCACATCTACTTTATGCTGCCACCTGTCTCTCCATGGAGAGTGTCAGTTAGAATGGTGGCACCTAGAGGACAGGCTCCAGATCTGTGAAGCAAGCTTTGCATAGAGGACTTCAGAGTTCCAGGAACAACTGACACTTAATAAATCTAGCGTGGGAGAGTGGAGAGGGTTTAATTATAACCATAATATTGATTTTAAATGACAGGCTGAATTTTCATTTTTAAAAATGCTCAGGTGAAGTGCAAATATACCTTCTTTTACATATGTTACTGTTTTTTTAGCTAGATGATGATCAAGCTAGATTAACTGCTTCAGCATGTCCATGTATGGTCCATGTCCAGCAGCTCTGCTCTATTGGAATGCGTCTTCTGTTGTTTGATCAGATATCTGGTCTGTCTGCTTTGCTTTTATATGTTGCCCTCAGTCCAAATGGCAGGTACATGTCATCTTCTATGCCAGTTTTGTCCAGTAGATAATAATTAAGCTACTATTAGAGTGAACTCAGAGCTGATTTGTTTGTCCTAGTACATTTTTTTTTCTAGTATTACCAACTTTTTCTTAGTAACATTACTCTTAGGCACTCTGTGGCTTTGATGGTGTCATTAAATGTAAACTGTGGGTGGTATCTTAATCCTCATAGACAGTCCACATCTTCTATCTCCACAGACTTGTCTCTGCCATTTTTAAATGAAATGCACATAGTAGAATCAACTAGAATGCTAGAATTTTGTCTTTTTGCCCACAATATAGAATAACTTACCAAGTAACCATTGCCCTTGCTTTTGTTTTTAATTGTAGTCCCAGAAGAAAATATTGCAACCATGAAGTATGGAGCCCAGGTTGTGAAAGGGGAGCTGAAGTCCGCCTTGTTAGATGGCGATACTCAAAATTATGATTTGGATCATGGATTTTCTAGGCACCCAATTGATGATGACTGCCGTTCTGGTATTGAGATTAAGCTAGGTCAGCCATCTATCATCAATCACATACGGATACTCCTGTGGGACCGAGATAGCCGGTGAGTGATTAGCATGACTTGGACAGAAAATGACATTATGTTTGATTGAGTTGGCTTAATTTTGGTTTTACAAATTTGGTGGTTTATTTCCTTGGGATCGTTTCACTATTTCTCTTGAAGTTTAGTTCTGGGGGAAGAGTTAAAGGCTATATTCCTTTTAAAGAAATGTTTTTTGCTTTTTTTCTGCTTATAAAAGTAATGAATATGTGTTTATCATGGAAAACGTAGAAAATATAGAAAAGCACCAAGAAGAAAGTAGAAATCATTAGTAATCTCACTGACCATTAATAATCTTTGTATATATCTATCAAGTATATATGTCTAACTAGTATATATCTATCTAACTTTGTATATATTTAACTAGTCACACACACATACACATAGACAAAACAGAAACCTGTAAAACCACACAGAGTTTTACAAAATAAAAATGAAATGTGTAAAGGTTAACTTCACTTTGTAATTAATACATTGTGAACATTCTACTCTTTAAATTAGTCCTCTAAAATACTACTGTTAATGGTTGTTTGGTATTCCACCTTCTGGGTTACCATTATTTATTTACTTGATTCTTTACTTTTGAATATTATAACTTTTTAAATGCATTTTATCCTATGGATGAAGAAAAAAATTGTCTTTTAGTGTGTGGATAAATAATCATCCTCAAAACAAAGGAAGTTTGTGAAAAATATTTGGTGGGCTCCAGCCTCAGAACCTACCCAGTTTTGTAGCAGCTTCAAGATTCTGCCTTCCTTGGTGTACCTCTGACACTTTCACCCACCATAGTTTCTAGGTTTCATCCGGGATGCTCAGAAGTACCAGAGCAGTTGGGTGACCAAGAACTGTCTCTCTCATCACTGTCCATCATTAACCTAAACCCTACATACACAGAAAGTGGTATAGAGTCTCTTAGGCCCTACTCATGCCTCTTTGAGTCTGGTCATGGAGGACTTAGTAGTAATGATGATGATACCTTTGCATGGTAATTCATTTCTCTTGGCACCACAGGCCACCACTTGGGCCTTTTAGGCCATTTGAACCAAATATGAGGGAAACTTCACATAGTGGGAGTCGGCATTTCCCATAGAGATGAGTGTTCGAGGTCCCCAGGTTATCTTTATATGTTTCTCCTTTATTAAGAATATATTTCCTAGGGGTACCTGGGTGGCTCGGTCGGTTAAGCGTCTGCCTTTGGCTCAGGTCATGATCCCAGGTTCCTGGGATCGAGCCCCATGTCGGGGTCCCTGCTCAACGGGGAGTCTGCTTCTCCCTCTCCCTCTGCCTCTCTTCCCGGTTTGTGCTCTCTTTCTCAAATAAATAAATAAAATCTTAAAAAAAAAAAAAGAATATATTTCCAGATATGTATCTTGTTGGATATAATATGAAGTTTAGTTGGCAAAATGGAGCTAATTCACATATCATTTCCAAAAGTCTCTGGATTAATAATAACAGTATAACAATAATACTTATATAACACTTTCATTACTTTTATGTGATGGGTTCTGTTCTCAAAACTTTACATATATTCACTCATTTAATTAATACTGAAATTAGTATAAAGATAATAAAAGAAAAGGTTAGTATGTTTGAGACTGAAAGTAGTTACCATTTCCATGATGTTAAATATTTATAGGCCACTTTGTTTTAGTGCGTGCATTCCATTCATGGGGGACTTAACTTGACCATGTAGCAATTCTTTTCTCACAGAAGTTGTTATCATTCTAAGCAAAGGTGAAAAATTCAGAATCTTAAGCCCAAAAGATTCTGACATGTGTTGTAAAAATTATATCCTGCATTACTGATAACCCAGAGAAGTTCAATAAAAGGTTATAACCAGTTTGAGACTGAGCGATAAAATGGATGGGAGTAAGGGGACAGCAGAAAATGAGGGGATGACACAAAATAAGCTGACCTTTTCTGGTCACAACTGTTGGTTGCAGGCTGACATTTATGGTCACCTAAATCTTCTGAGATTGTTCCTGTTGATATTACAGTACAAGTAATAACTGCATCTCAAATTTAAATTTGGCTTATGACAGGGGAATATAGATTTGTTCAGTATGGGACCAGCATCTAATGGTCCGGGGTAGCTGACTAGGGGAGGATGATTGGCTATTTTCATTACTGCCAGATTATTAGCTGCCAAATTCTATGTTGTACCCAAAAGAAACGTGCATTATCTCTTCACCCATGTCATTTATTTTTCTTCAGGCTGCATATTTGTGTGGGATGGTGGGAGACTGGGAGGGAGCAGGAGATAAGCTGGCCTTTCCGGGGAACCATTCTGAGTTGGCTCTCCTGAGAGAATAGGGCTGAGCACCCAGACTAGGGAAGGTAGAAGAAGTCACATCTCAGACTTCTCAATTTTCTGTCCTCTCTCTGTCATGGCTTGAATCTGCTAATACAGCAGAAGCAAGGCATCCTGGCTCTGTTTGAAAAGGAACAAATATCTTGCATGTTGGATATGTGCCAAACAGGGTGCTAGGCCCTGAATAGATGAAGATAAATATGGCATGCTCCTTGTTCTTAAGCAGCTTGTGATCTAATAAGGCATACAAACATGCAGAGAGATAATTTCAATACATTGTGGTGCACGCTACAATAGTGGGATCTATACAGATTTTATTATTATCAGCATTTGATTGTTATTGCAGAAAGTTCTGATAATAATTTGATTGCTGTGGAGAAAATGTAATTAGCGAACAGTGTGTAATTTTTTGTATCTTTTAACATTCTATTAAAGCATAACTTGGTTTTGTTATTTTAATATGGTGCTTTTTTCTGTGTTTTTCCTTTTGATTCATAGGTCTTATTCATACTTCATTGAAGTGTCAATGGATGAACTTGACTGGATCAGAGTGATTGATCATTCACAGTATCTGTGTCGTTCTTGGCAAAAGTTGTATTTTCCAGCCCGTGTCTGCAGGTTAGTTCCCCTGGCTAATTAATGATTTTGATGTTTATTTAAGGAGATGTGAACCTTGAGAAACGGGCTACATTTTTTTTGTCTCAAAGAAGAAGACTTTTTCAGGATATCAGCTACCAGATGCATACCAACTAAAAAACTTAGGGAAAATATGGAAAATGAAGCATCTTAATTCTAGAGTATACTGTGGAACTGTTTATCCACAGTGTTTTGTGCCATACTTATGCAGAAGACATGCAGTGAACAAGAAGGGATAGAGAACACGGGAGAAGTGGAGATGCTCTTTAAGCTCCATCCTAGACACCGAAAGCAGACTGATCGTTAGGGGCTGCGTTCTTCCCACAAAAGCCACGGAAGATATTTCTGGAGGATTCCCCGGTAGTCCTCAGGGCCAGGAGGAGATTTTTGGATGTTAGTGTGCACGTTCTGAATATCTGTGTTCTTTTCCTAGGTCAGTGCTTATTGGCAGAGTTTGACAGAACAAGTGTGTCTAGTGGATTGGGTTTGGAGCAGGGGAGGTTGAGCTGGTCGGGCTCCAGGCTCACAGCCTCCCTTCAGCCAGATCACCTTAGCTTTTACTGTTTTTATGCATTGTAGCCCCATGGAAGGTTGTTTTTAAAAAGTGTTGATGAGCTACTGTTCTGATATTTCATATTGTTCCTTTAGGTTTAAGCCATCTTTTAAACTTTCTGAAATTCTATAAAACCCATACAATTAATGAATTTAAGAGTTGGTAAAGGTAGATAGAGGCCCCCGAAATTCTGCCCTTTTTTTTTTTCTGTTGTAATTTTCCCCTTAGAAATTGCCCTCAGGTATTCCTTACCTAAAAGTCAAAAGATCAAAGGCAGAAAATGGTTGGTTCATTTATATGGTGGGTGTAAACCAGCGACAATGTGGATCTGGCCTCTTACCGCCTTCTGTCGCCACCCTCATCCATGACCCCAGCTGACCTCCCACTGTGGCTGATTTGGAACAGGTGGGGATGCCCCATAGCACTTACTCTCTCGGTCAGAAGACACCCTTTATACTTAGTAAACTTATGATCTAACAGCATCAGGCTGAATTCTTACCTCCACAAAACCTTTCAGCGTTCTGGTACAGTAAAGAATGTTGCCTACATTTTTTTTTTTTTTTTATTATGGGTATGACTGGACACAATATTGTTACCCAGGGATCCTCTTGTGTGAAAATGAAGAAAATCAATTTCATTTCCCCAAAGAAAGACTAAAGTGTTGCAGGTCTGGCAGTTGCTCTTTTATCAGAGGAGTTTTGAATGGATTAAAATGAGAGGGACAAGACATTGAGTGAAGATTTTGTATCTCAGAGCTGCCTAGGGATATTTTGAGAGTGACAGAGGGGCCCCAACTTGGAGGAGCAGATTGAGTCTGCATTGACTCAGGTTATTATGGTTGTATTGGATTAAAAAATAAGCAGCATAGCAACCAAAGCATCTGATGTGGACTGAAGGACTGTGTGTTTGCATTTAATTTGAAACAAGAGGAACATGACTCCCAGAACAAACCATCATGAATAGAATACTAGCCATGACAGTCTGTAAGCTTTACCCACTTGAAAACTCCTGCCGCATGGAAGGGGAGATGTGTGCCCTCGGTCATGATCTCTGGCTTTTACAAAATATACTTCCCCTTCTTTATTAATGGGCATTATTTATTTATACTCCCTATTTGTTATTTTGTTTCTTCTGTGTGGCCTTGTTTTTGTTTATGTAACTTTTATGTGTTGTAGAGATTGGCTGTGTTCATAATGCCAGTTTTTGTCTTGGTATAGCCAGTTCCCAACTCTGGTCAAGAAAAATGGAGCAAAGGTGATGTTAGAGATAATGACAAGAAAAGGAAAGAGTCTTGATATCCATATTAGTTAATAAATAAAATTAAAAAGATTTATAACCATGTTAACATATATTACTACATTCCTTTATAAACTCTGCCTTTTGTAATAGGTTGGGATTTTGGTAATATTTAAAAATGAACCTAAAAAAAGTCTCCATTGATTATCCAAGGGTGTCTTATAGTTGGTGTCTCTTTTCTTTTCTTTTTTTTTTGTAAGATTGATTGATTGATTGATTGATTAGAGAGAGAGAGTGTGAGAGAGCGGGGGAGGGGCAAAGGGCGAGGGAGTGAAAGTCCCAAGCCGACTCCACGCTGAGCACGAAGCCCAATACAAGGCTGGATCCCACGACCCTGAGACCATGACCTGAGCCGAAACCAGGAGTTGGGCATCCAGCTGACAACCCAGGAGCCCCTATACCTGGTGTTTCTTATCTTCACAATCATTTATTGACTATCTAAATAATGTTCTAAATACACATCTTTCCAGGGATTTCACTGGGCACATAATAAATTCTTTCTCTTTGCCTTATTTAGTTAATTTGCACATTTGTATGTTAACTTTGTTTTTCAGTATCCTTTGAGTATTTGTCTTGCCTCTGATACTAAAATTAAAACTTCTTGGAAGTAAGGAGTATGGATTGTGATCTTTTAGTATTCTTGCGTGGTGCTCGGGCTATGATCTAGTATGCAGTAGGTACTTTATAAATGTTAGCACAGGTTTCATGGGGTCAAGGCACTAACTGTATAATGAGAGATGGATTCAGCATTAATATGTATATATATTCAGTACTTTTTATCCATGTATTTGTTAAAATGTGTATCACTGCTAGAAAGGTCTCGGTACATGGTTTGCAAATGTAACTTTCTATATTTTCATGAGGAAGCTGAATTTTGATGTTAATCCTGAAAGATATGAGTATCATGTATTGAGGAAAGATTACATCAAATATATTCGCAAAAGAAGAGAGACACTGTGAGTTGGGGAGTGTGAGAGTACCTACCAGTCTTGGCTGGATTGCATGTAAATTAGCACTGTGTAGTAAAAAAAACAAAACCAAAAATCAGGGGCTATGGAGTTAGATAGAGCTCTTCTCGCTCTCTGATTTCATCAAATCCTGGCCTGGTGATCTGAGTAAAGTTGTGCCTCTCCAAGCCCTTGTTTCTATACCAGTAAAAAACAGGAATAACAATACCATTTATGAGTCTGCTGTGGACGGTTTAGGTGACATGGCATGTATACGAACATTGACTACAGGGCCTGGCCCAAAGTAGAGGCTCAGTCACTAGTGGTTTTTGTTTTTGTTTGTTTTTATTATTTTTATTATTTTAAAATTGTTTTTATTTATTTTTTTTTCTAAATTTTGAGACGCTCAACTGGTGTTTGACCTTCAGAGAAAAAGAGCCATTCTTGCCATCCTCTCTGGCCATGGTGGCGCTCACTGTGAGGAAATTGTTCCTGACCTCAGGAGCCTAGTCTTCCCAACACGTTTCCAGATTGCCAGTCCATACACAGCAGTCCAAGACATGCCTTAAACGGTTCACTCCATCTTCATAACCTGCCTAGTGGTGTGTTCCCAACAGTTTTAATGTATTTTCATTTCGGTAAAGCATTTTTTTTTATTGTAGCAAAATATATATGGCATACAGTTTGCCATTTATGTATCTGTGGGATGCAGTTCAGTCCGCTCTTCCCCTCGCTAAGCAGTGGACATTATCTAGTGGCCATAGGGAGGATGATGTCAGGCTTCAAAGCCAGAGTGATTGCTCCAACCATAATGGTGAACGGACAGAGGTGATCTGCTCTGTCCTTCTGGGTCCTGTTTAGGAATGCGTTGTAGGTTAAGTGGGAACTGCTCTGTGTGGCCAAAAGCCTAGACTAATAACTCCCCCTGCTCAGCCTCCCCGGCGATGAAGAAAAGGGACTTTTCCATGTTATTAGAATGTCTTTCACATGAGCTCAGAACCGGGTTATGTCTCACCAGCTTTCTCTTTCTCGGGAAAAGGCCGTTGCTGCTTCAGCTTTACGTCGTCGTCCTGGCTATTTAGGGAGCTCTCTTCAAGCCCTCCACGGCTTTCCGGGTGCCAGAGCCCAGGGCCGGACAAAAAATACTAATAAGGACTGGCAAATATGGAGTGCCCTGAGGTGTTTTAAAACACTTTCTGGCTGTTTCTCAACAGGGTGCTGGTAATTTGGCAGCCATATAATGTTGCCGAAATAGGAGAAGACTTGAAAACATGGATGTGAGGGGTAGAGGTGGATTTCCGAGCCTGCAGCTGGCTGGTGGCTGGGATCACAAGAGTGATTCTGAGGCAGAACCCGGGAGTTGAGGGAAGGAATAGCACCTGAAAGCGCAGCCTGTTGAGAGCGGGAACAAAAGAGCAGACCGCAGCCGCCTTTGCTGCAGGGGCTGGGCAGAGACAGGAGAGCGAGTCCGAAGGGGCCTGGGCAGAGACAGGAGAGCGAGTCCGAAGGGGCCTGGGCAGAGACAGGAGAGCGAGTCCGAGGGGGCCTGGGCAGAGACAGGAGAGCGAGTCCGAAGGGGCCTGGGCGGAGACAGGAGAGCGAGTCCGAAGGGGCCGTTACTGAAGAGAGGCCAGAGGAGGCCCTGGAGGGATGGCCACAGCTCACACAAGCCCGGGCTTCTGCTTTTCATTTTGTTTTTAAGTACCGCCATGGAAATGTCTTGTTCATGACATTTTTATTATCAAATTATAATGTAGGACATATTTTAAATATCGGTAAAGCTTGTCCTCTGGTAAAGTTGTATCCAGTTTCTACCCATAGCAAATGAAAATGCTCTTTCTCTGAGCCCTTAACCACTGCAGGCTTGTCAACACTGCCAGTGTGAGCTATGATTTGTTAAAAAAAACTTAATTTAGATTTCTTTTATCATCAGTGAGGTAGAGTATTGTTTAAAAATGGCCATTTGTTCTTTCTCATTTATGAAAAGCCTATTTTTATCTTCTGCATATTTTTCTTCTGAGGCAGTTATCTTTTTCTGTCTTATCAGAACTTTATTTTGATATACTGATATATATATATATATATATATATATACCGTCTTTTTGCGTGTCATGTATTGTGCAATTTGTTTTTAGTTTTTACTGTTTGACTGGTACTTTTTACCATATAGAATTTTACTTTTTAAAAAATGTAGCCCAATCTCTCTTT